GGAATAACCTAGGGCTGAGGGGAGATATGCTATCACTGTAAGATTTAGGGAGGCAAAAGAAAAAGGACGGAAGGGAGGGAACCGCGTGCGGAGGAGAGCCTCCCGCGAGGGCTGCAGAGAGCTGATGAAGACAGGAAAGGAAAGCACAGGAAAAGGTGGGTTCTCCCAAGATGGTGAACAAATATTACTTCAGAAGTTAATTGCAGCTGAAGAAATGCATGAACTGAAAGGGCTGCTGCATGCTTCAACCCATAAAACAGCCATGTTCCTCTTGCAAAATTGTGTCTGCTTTATTCAGAGGAGATGGTTCTGAATCGTATTAATTAGCTGCTGTCTCAGGTTTATTGGAGTAAACTGAACACAAGTACTAAATTCAGTTGCTTTAACTACAAAGTGAAGAGGAGACACATGCTAAAGCTCCTGGCTTCAACCTACAAACAATAAAACTGCATAGTTCATCCACAGAGGGGGAAGACAAAACCCAATTCAGTCACTGTGATGTGTCTTTTAAATTGCTTTAAGATTCAGAGCTCGAAATGCACTGACTCGATCCTGCTTGGATCAAGTAAAAGAATCCGCAGCTGTTTGCCTGAATTCTCTACAGAAAGCAAAACCCTAGGGAACCCTTAGGGCAGACTGGGAGCAAACATGGCAGCAGGCAGAAAGCTAACCCCTGTGGGCAGAGGAGCTCAGGGCCATAATAATTTTTTTAGTAATTCCTTCACACTCTGGGCCTGAGCACAGAACTCAGTTCAGCAATCCATCTGCTAGGGAAGCCCCTGGTACTCGCCTGGCATGGGACATGCCTTCTCCCAAACCATCCTAATCACAGCCCAGCAGCTATTTCCAGTGAGCATTCTGGACGTAGCAAACCTCATTTGGAGGACAGGAGAATGTAACGGTATAGACATGGCAGATACTGCCCAGTCAGCCTTAGCCAAAGTGCCCTGGCAGGGCTGAGCTGACTAGCATTGATGCTGCTCCGGATTCCTGCTTCACACAGCTCTCTTCACTCCGTCCAAATCTCCTCTCAAACCACTGGCAAATCACACCTTTTTCCACTGCAGAATTTTCAGCAGTATCATCAAGAATATCCTAGCTCCAGGTGAATAGTTCTTCCATCTTGTGGCTGTCTTCCATGCCCTTCCCTTCAGAGGATTAGCCTCTTTCGGATCTAGTGTTCTTGCTTCTTTCATTCCCACAAGCATTCCAGTTGGAGAAACCCCTGCAATTGTGACGAGCCACACAGTACCATTTTGCAGCTTATGAGGAAAATCCTTTAAAAGACAGCAGTGTTAAAAGATACTGCACCTCTAAAAACCCAGGTATATTGTCAAAGCCCCATGGTGGCCTACTAAGTACTTAAAAATACGTATCTGCAAATGTTGAGATAGACGGATTTAAAGAAGAGTGATAAAGAGTGGTATTGCACTCACTTTAAGGAGAACAATAGAGACAAATATAAGTCAATATACATAATATTTTCACTACAATGTGGAGTAAAATACATATCTGATTTTACACTTGAATTGAAACATTTTAACAAAGGGATATTCTAATGATTGTGGCTTACCAGAAAAAAAAGAAAAAGAAGAAAAAAGACATTATAACCTAAAAAAAAAAAATAGTTTGGCTATGACAGCCTTGTGACTTACAAGTTCTTGTACACTTACACTGCCAAGAAAAATGAAATAGAGCTAAAAATGTGCCACTGCTACAAAAAATGAGTACACTATATTCATTCACTGCTGCACAGCTGATGTCCAAGGATCATCTTACTCTGTTTTAGGAATGTTTGTTCTCACAGGACCTGCATATTCTGTCCAAAGCTGAAAAGATTTCTACACATGTCTATGTGTAGAAATCTTGCAGAGTAACTGGTGACAATATACTGGAACAACAATACCGCAAACTACCAAGGGCAGTGGGTGAAGAGGAGAAAGTACACCTCTGGAAAATATATTTCAAATTAATTTCAACCCTGCACCCCATAAATGTAACCTAATTTTGAGTTTCGAGCATCTTTTATTCTAGGAAGAACCAGGCCTGGGGAAAAAGAAAAAAAGGAGGAGGGGTGTTAAAAGCTGAAAACTTAGTCAGAAATATGTATTAGGGTTTTTGAAATGTCCCTGATTTGGAAAAAAAAAAAAAAAAAAAAGTCTTTCTGTTGTTAAGAATCCCAGACATGGCCCAAGATCACCCAGCTAACATAGAAAGGAAACTTTTGGGCATGAGAATCATAGAGCAGAGAAATACTAAATTTGTAGACCATCATTTATACCCACGAAAGCTGAAGAGCAGAATTGGCAAGTGAGTCGCCCACCAGACATGAAAGACCAACTCAGACACAGCCTTGAATGCAAGGAAGAGAATCAGCACAACTGGGATGTCTCCTCCAGGCAAAGGAACCAGACCATTATAAGCTTCCACCTGGATGATCACCAGCAGTAAAAAAACAGAAGAAAAGACCCTAGTTTAGCATTTTACCCCTAAGGCCAGCATATTTAACTGGATATCTGGTGGTTCAGAAGCACAGCAGCAGTGCTGGGCCAAATCCAAGTCACAGCCTTCAGGCCCAGGAGGAAAAGTTGTTACCAAATGAAGCGTGCTGACAACATACGGAGGCCTGTGCTACTGGAGAAGTTTCATCCTCATCCAGAAAGAAAAAAACCTATAAGACTATGCCAAACAAATGATTCAGTTTAGGTCAGAGCTCTGCTGCTCAAAGCACCCTGGCCACTGATACGGCTTGGAATGGACTGGCTTGTTTCTGTGCTGACTTTACATCTTTTCAAAGCTTTTGCACAGGGGAAAGGATCATGGATTTTATTTTTTTTTTTAACTTGAATTTACTAGGAATTAGGAAGCAGTTTACTACTGAACGTATTTATCCAGTCTGCATCACCTCCTTTTTTATTCACTCCCAGCCCAAAGTAACTTCATGCACATCTGAAGCACTAAAGCTGTGAGGCCTGCAAGCTCCCTCTTTAAAGTATGTAAGCACCTACTATTTTAACAGGCATAGAAGACACCTTGTCACCAGAAAATGACAGCTAAGCTCCTGCCTTTGCTCTCTTACCTAGACATCTATTACTAGATGACACAAAGATGGGACACCATGCTTATGTCCGATCTGATCTCCATTGATGTGAATTGAAAACATCTTCCATGGGAGCAGGGTGAGTTACAGGAGAACAGAGAAAATATAAAGTCAGATTCAGGATTCTTCTTTCCACTTTCATATTTCTGCCCCGATACTGTATGTGTGAGATTTACAAAAATAATAATAAACACATACGGAGATTTTTTTTTTTATAGATGGCAAACCACTGGTTTAGATTGAAAAACATCTGACTGCATAACATACCATGCTGCAGCTCCACACCAGTGAACACCACACTTCTCACATAAAATAAGTTATTCTGATTCGGTTAGAATTCTGTTCTTGAAAGGAACGGAAGCAACAAACTAAATGAGGATTAAATACCAGATCTTGTCATCCTTCGATGTATGAAAAGACCAAACTAATCAAGACTTTCAAATGCGATGTCAAACTGTGCGAAGCAGAAAAGCAAACTTCTTGCTTGTTTTGGCACAGCAAGTTCTTTACAGATTATACTTGTTGTAAGTCGGAAAACACAACATTGCATTTGCTAACCCAATAGATCATTTTCCTATCCAAAAAAGGACTGCTTCTTTTGTAAACTTACCAGCTAAGGACCATTCTGTGGGAAGTACTGCTTTATCTAATTTCTCATTGTAAATAGCTATTTAAATTTTTTAAACTCTTCTTCAACAAAAGAATAATTTTGATGCTGAGTAATTAAGCACATGCTTTGTCAAAAGAACAATATTTAAAGTTTTCTGGGGATATGTAAAGCATTAAATACTTCAAGTAAAAAGGATGCTATCTGGGCATCAACAATTACATGCAATTATAATAGCAGGAGCAAAGTCCAAATGGCACTTCCAGTATTAATCACTGCGGTTGACCCAACTTAATGTTGGAGACTCCAGCTTAAAGCTTGGAGTGAATTATTCCCTTGGAAATGATTCAAGGTAATTGGGTAACACCAAGAGTGGGCTCTGTTAGTGTTACTATCAGTTACTGCCTATTGCTATGAAGAAGCATTTTGAAAGCACTGTCTGTGGCCAATACAAAGAACATTCAGTAGTGCCTGGTGGCTGTGGGTGGCTGAAACAACTCAGTTGAGTCAGTCAACTTACTGAAGATCAGGAACAGCTAAGCCTTTTCTACTTGGGCATCTAAAGCCTGAGACACCCTAAAAAAAGTAGTCACTACTCATGATCCCAGCCACTGAGAAACTAAAGTTGCTTCCAGGCTTCAGTAGTGAGAAATCTTTTGGGGAACTGAGAAATTCCCTCTTAAAGTGAAGAAAATAACTGTCTGAAAATTATTGGACACATAAGCAAACCCAGATACTAACTACAGCAAGCTTTGATTCATTTAGTGTTTCTCAAGCTGTTATTGCTTATGCCTTAGCAGCATTTAGTATGTGACACCTTCAGATAACTGAAGAAGGAAATAAAAGCCCATTTGTATACACCATGATGGAAATGTTGGCTCTTTTGATCTTTACACTGCTATAACTTTACCTCCGTGTAGACACAAGTGAGCTCTGAAGCAGTTTCCAGACACTGTAAACACCAGTGTACTCCAGAGCAGCACATCCAATGGACCCTGATGGCTTTATGTTCTGCGGTGGGACCCTGCAATTTCCAGTAAAGTGCCCACTGTAGCTGAGACTGTTATCAAGGCATTCACAATGAGGAATCCAGCAAAGAGGGACTACAAAATCTCTTCCCTCCATTGAGGCACGACCTTCATGACCTGCAGAGGCCCCTCCTCCTCTGTGAAAGTCATCTGAAAGTGGTTGATGTTATAAAATTTTCGGATGAGGCGACAGTGACATAGAACAGACTTATTTGTTTAGAAAACTAGGCTAAAAACTAAATAACAAAGGCACTACCAGCCATACCTGATTAGACCAAGAGGGTCTAAATCTTCTTCCACTTCTTCCTCCTCTTCCTCTTCTTTTTTCTCCCCTTTTTTGGCATTTTCCACCAATGAAAGATGTGAGATTAAGTCAGGTATTGTCTCCTCTTTGAAAAAATCCAATGCCTCATTTTCTTCATCTTCATTCTCCTTGTCATCAGGAATGTTTTTACTCTTGAAGTCCATGGCGCTAGCAGATTTTGTTCCTGCAAAATACAATAATGGATGCAAAACTGAGTACATAGGATAACAACTATGTTTCATTTAATACCTTGCACCTGTTCCTGATGGCTTTGTTTGGGGAATGAAGGGCACAATCAAACAATTTCAACATTCATGACTGTCCCTTCTATCCAGTGATGTGTCATTATGTATCTGATATGTTTACTGATGTAAAGTAATTAAGTAGAGAAAGACAGAGGAAACGGACTTTATCTGAGACATAGCAGCACATGTCTAATTTGTTTATATGTTCCTTCTGTACTCAACAGAAACAATAGAATTTCCATGTGGTGATTCATCCTATCCAAATAAAGCTGTCTGAGAAGGAGTTTCCCTCTGAAGTGCCTGTATCTCTCTTCTGGCTACAGAGAGGCCATACTCTCCTTAGATGTAGGTAACTAACTTTCACATAGCTAGTTAAGATAAAGTCCATTTTTTGTTACAATACACCTGGGCTAAAATTAAAGCATTGGACAACACGGAAGTTTCCAGAGCAGCTCTTCAATTTACACTCAAAAATGAAGCCTGAACTTCTAACTCCCTTCAGTATGCAAGATCCATCCAACTGAGCAAATTCAACTGTTTCAGTCAAATTTTGACTGTTAAAGCAATGTGACATGGGAGACTTATGTCACCCAGCTTTTCATGCTTGCATCTGCCAAATCACCAGAGTAGATTTAACTGACTAAACGTGGGTGTCTACACTGAGCAAGTGGTCCTATGCTCCCTTTACAGACAAGAGAGTGCTGGTCAGGGTAGGCAGTGGATGCTAGGATGCTGTTTATCTTATCACCACAGTCACCTGTGTTTTACCATGTTGATTCTCCCTAAACACTCCTGAACATATCAACTATGTTTCCAGCATCTGTAAGGAAAGTGTACACAACTAGCTTGAGAATCTGCAGCGTAGGTACTGAATTCCAGCTGGTTTGGTAGGGTGAGACATTATTCTATGGCAGATTTCGACGAACAGGTCACATTACTTGCACCCAATCTCCATACTGTCCACAGCATAAAGACAGTTCAGACTATTTCAGCTGTAGACATATGCACCACGGTTAGGTTAAGCAGCATACAAAGATGAATCAATATGAATTCTGAAGTCTCTGTGCAAGGGGTCTACTTTCAAGAGAACACTGTCACGGAAAAAAGAAAAAGCAAAACAAAAAACCCCACTCCAAAACCATATTAGCAAAAAGGATTTTGCCAAATATTATGCAATTTTGCCCCCCTCGACTTTAGGAAGCTGTCATTCTCACAGAACTTCTAAGCTGGCCTCACTTGACACTTTTGCAAAATCAGCTGTTCACACATGGTGACTTGCTAGCACCTTGCAACGTTACTTCCTTAAAACTGACGCTACACTGAGAAACCTGCACAGCACCAGGCTGCAGTACTCCCTGCTCAGCAGCTCTCAGCTGAATTAATAGCAGAGAGCCCATCTGTTCCATTCATTTGATGACTCCCTGCTATGCCCAAGGAACATAAGAAAAGAACTATGTGAATCATGGGAAAAGGCAACAAGAGCTGGACATGAGGCTAAGGAAAAAACTAAAAAACAAACAAAAAAAAAAAAAAGTCACAGAATGGGTTTAACTTATAAAGAATCTGCCAAAGAATCTGCCTTTCACTCAAATCTTTCTCAGGGTCAATAACTTGCTCTAGGACCCTCTTCAGCAAGACCTAGCAATCTTATTAGGAACGAAAAACAGACAAAATGTGGATCGGTTGATCAATAAGTGAGACCCTGTGCTGTCCCTTTAGGGTCCATCTCTCCACTAACAATATATGATTATTTATCCTTCTAAACTTATGTGTTCTGAATCACAGCTTAGGTATATGCCTAAGGGAAATCAGAGACGGTGGGATAGATATCTTCAAGGCGAGCACTGTGGTATCAACGCTTCTGAATGAGACGTGTCCACTAAGAAGAGGAGAAAACACTAGCAAACATCCCTATGCAGCACTGTAGATGCACAAGATAATATTTTCAGTGCCAGTCTTTATTCTGGCATTCTCTAGTTTCTGACTACCTGAGTCAAGAACTGAATAATGCTTTTATCAATGGGAGAGGGGACACTCACATCTTTCAGTTACCTAAAAATTCCAGTAACTCAGGACTCGTTGCTAGATCCTCATCTTTTGCGATGAATTTCATTATATCATTGAACATAGCTCTTCGTTCACAGATGTCAGATTCCCCCACGAAGAGAACTTTTCTAGGCAAGAGTGGAAGAGAAACCTGTGGATATCGTGCTGCCAGCCTCTGGTAGAGCTCCTCTATCTCGCTGTACTTCTTGGAAACCTGCAACGAAACATGCTGCCTGGGTAAGCTTCTCCACAGGGGAGACATGATCAGCAAAACATCAGTTTAAGTGTTATAAAACATTAACCCTGGACACTGAAGTGGAAAACCACGTATTACTGAGGAGCTTTACATACAGCCTAGTAAAAGCCTGTTATCTACACAGTGAATCCCCAAGCATTGATGCTGGTCTTCTAATTCCGTTATTAAAATCTGCTCCCTAATGGAATTGATATCATTGCCAGATACCCAGAGTCCATTTGTCTGACTTGTCAACTAATGAAATACTGTGAAGGTCACTCCTCCAGATACTTTTCTCTGACAGCAAAAATCCTTGTCCACTAAAAATGAGCTACATGATGCCTGCCCTGAGAGATGGGAGGGAAGAGAAGCCCAGCCATGTATCTGATGGAGAAAGCAGCCTGAATCCTTTCCCCATTGAGCCAGAAGATCCATTTCTCAGTCCAGATGGGCTTCAGTGCCCTTCTGGCTGGCAACGTCTGAAAAACTGGCACATTTCCTGCCGTGCAGAGCACCTAATACAGAAACCGAAGGGCAAAGACCTCAGCTGACCCCTGACTATTCAGTTTAACCATGAGAAAGTAAAAAATCACCAACTTGGCTATGGACTACAGGTTCTCATACAGGGAGAAGATGCCAACAGTGAATGGAGTAATTCCTTCTGCAGACAAAGACAGGAAGCCTGAAGAGAAATAAGGCCCAAGATATTACTAGGAAAGCAATAACCGTGGGAATGCTGATTGGAAATGGTGTGGCTTCCATGCCACATTAAGTTTTGAATTCAGTACCTCAAAAAATCAACACACAAAAAGCACACACAAACAAAACCCTATCTCTAAGTGACGTTACAGGCGCAATGGAGAGTGACTGTCATGCTCTGCGACTGTATTATATAGACAATATATTAATCATGGACTTCCATGGCCCCATAATCTATTAATGTGCTTCAACGAATACAGAGTTACATTAAAAAAAAAAAATACAGAAAACTAGTTCTAGTGGAGTGTGTACGGCACAGATCCTCTACGAGGGTCCAGCTCTTATCCTCCTGTAACGTATATTGGTGAACTCTAGCGGAGTGAATCCTAACTAATATTGCAACATAAGAGATGGAAAGACTCAAGCACAACATCTTGGGATGGAAGAAGGCAGAGTTCTTCCACCAACACAGTGATATAAGAAAGTCATCCCAACAAAAAGCACAGAAGTAGAAGGGACACAAGTTATAAATTAACCCAGAATGCATAAACTGCATCTATACTAGCAAACTAAACAGTATCAGGGCATATTCCTAGGTGCTGGAACCTGAGAACATCTATCAGGAACCTTACAGAGTCTACTAGAACCTGACAACGTCCGGCACAGTGCTGCCTCCTGGCAGCTGGCGCTCTCCTTCTAGCCCAAGATCTAGCCTGTAGGGACCACACAGTGGCCAGTTTGGGTACTGTTGGCCATTGCAGATGGCAAGAAAGTTTCATACTATGGATGCAGCCAGACTGTGCTAGCTGCCCTCCAGCCCAGAGAACAGTTCCTGACATTAACAGACAAACCTCTACTAGCTTGCTAAATCAGATGTAGCCATAAAGAGCAATAACCACCTTAGCATTCATGCTTCCCTGCCTTTCGCAGTAATTATCAATCAAGCTAGCTGATCTGAAAAATATTTGCATTTCAGTTGTACAGTGTTTGCTGTGGGTTCAGTGTCCAGTCACAAAAGGCAAGCAGCTCTGCAAGAAAGATCTGAAGCACAAAACCAAACCTGAGTCAACAGGGGAATGAAAAACAAGAACTTTAGACTTCTCTCCTGTAAGGAACGCAGGTAAGCGTGAGCAACGTGGTGCTCCACATGCAGGATCTGACATGCAATTCATCAACCAAGTACTAAAATGATGGCAATAAAGAGGTCCTCCCTTTGAAAGATACCCCAAAACCAGACAGAAAAGCAATTCTGAGATTTCTGAATTGCTGCACAACTCTTGTTTGCTAGGTCCCAGTAGCACTCGGAACAGGGTATGTTACCAGAGCCCCTCCCAAAAATACTTTGTAAGCACAGTAAAGAATTCACTGGTACTTTTCCAAAAGAATAAACAATATTACCCTCCACTCAGAAAAAAAAAATTGTCTGATTTGTGAAAAAATGTTTAACATCTAATTAATGTCAATAATAAATAACAAATTAATGCCTGAAAGCATTACAAGACAGCAGCCAATCAACAAAACTGTGCCAATACAGCCTTTAAATACTCAAAAAGTAACACTGCACTGAGACATACAAACATATTTCTTTTCCCATGTAATTCCTCCTCTATCAAACTCTGTAAATTATTCACAAATCTCAATTTCTGTCTAATTACACCATTGAACCTAAAGCAAATGCACACCCTCGCATCCTATCGCTAATTGAGCCTTTGTGAACCTGCGTGGGCTTTCAACAACACCAACCATAACACACGACACAGCATACAAAGCGTGATAACATTATATCCACAGCATACTAATATGCTAAGCAAAAGCCCGCAGCACACCATGCAAGCTAATATCCAACAGTGTAGGGATGCCCTCTGCTGGGATAACCTCCCAAAAGGCAAGATGTTGCATCTCCAGCCCAAACCATGCCTCACTTAGCTAAGAGACCAAAGCTGGCCCCAGCAAGCCCCTGCTGACTGCAGCTCCTTGCCTGCCATCCCTCTGCCTCAAATCCTGGCTGCTGCTGGCTCCTCTTCATCTTCACTCAACACTACTGCCATCTTTACCTTGGTTTTGGCGCTGGAAATGCAGCAATAAGACTGTCTGAACCCAACAACTTCAGACTGGTGGATTTAGAGTCACAGAATGGTTTGGGTTGAAAGGGACCTTTAAAGCTCATCTAGTCCAACTCCCTTGCCATGGGCAGGGACACCTCCCACTAGCCCAGGTTGCTCAAAGCCTCATCCAGCCTGGCCTTGAACCCCTCCAGGGATGGGGCATCCACAGCTTCTCTGGGCAACCTGGGCCAGTGCCTCACCACCCTCAGAGGAAAAAACTTCTTCCTAGGATCTAATCTAAATCTACTCTCTTTAAGTTTAAAACTGTTACCCCTTGTGCTGTCACTACAGGCCTTGGTAAAAAAGTCTGTCCCCATCTTTCTTATAAGCTGCCTTTATATATCTGGAAAGCTACAATATTAGGTCTCCATAGAACCTTCTCTTCTCCAGGCTAACAACTCCAACTCTCTCAGCCTTTCTTCACAGAGAGGTGCTCCAGCCCTCTGATCATCTTCGTGGCCCTCCTCTGGACCTGCTCGAACAGGTCCATGTCTTTCTTGTACTGGGGATCCCAGAGATGGATGCATCAGCACAGAGGCAATGCAGGGGCCGTACACAGCTCCAGCCACGTCTTGCAGAGCGTCTTTTCTCAGGTTGAGTCCCACGCATCGTGCAGAGCATTCTCACACCTTTCCAGTCTGGAAGCACTACTCTGCTGTGAGAATCCTAGACCCTTTCAATTTGACATCCTCTCACAATTTTCCAGAAGAAAGGCATATCTGCATGTAACAAAATTAAATCTTGCTTATCCTGGTTACCACTCACAACCCTTTGAAAAGAGCTGATGGATCCTATGGCCCAAAATGTCAGGATAAAAGAAAACTGCTGCTCTAAAAACCATTTTATTAATCCCATTAAGTAAACAAAGTCCCATTTGATTAACATTCAAATATTTTTCTTCTGCTGCCTGTAATTCCTCTAGGTCTTGATCCTGCAATTGCCCCCTCCCTCTCCATGCCTCTAACTGAACTCTGTGAATACTGTTGAGCTAAACCCCCACCACCTGTAAGTCAGCCTGAGTGCACTCACTTCAAGGAGTGCTGTCAAGTCACAATATCAAAGGCTCAATCTACTTCACTTCAAAAGAGTTAATCACGCAAATACGGCAAAGCATGTGCATATTTGCCAGGTCAAGACTCTATTTGCCTATAACAATTAACATCCAACATAGAACTGAAAGAGCAACAGGGATGGGTTTGACTATTTTTTGCACCAGGAACAAATAAGAAAGTTGACTATGATCAAATATAGCTAGAAGGTTAAGAAAACCACCAGGAAGTTCAAAGTGAAAGCCTGAAGTTTGCTGATAATCCCTTAAATCTCATGCATATGCCTTACCCCCTTCTTCAGGAGAACCTCATACATGAAAGTACACACACCAGAATGCCTGTAGGATACAAGCCTGCGACTCTCAGATGTGCATAGGAGAATTTGATCCCACTTGGTATTAATGGGATTTAATGTCTCCTTTCCCTAGGCTCCTTTTAATTTCTGACCTCAAACTTGTCTTCATATGCTTTATATTTGCTGCAAGGTTTTCTATGACATGGAAGCCTCAGACAGAGGTAACTCAAGCCCTTTGGCCAGCCAGTGCACACTAGTGAAGAGCATTCTCGATTTTATAGTATTACATTAAATACTTACAGCTACTGTGACTTTATTTTTACAAAGCCCACTTCTTAACACTGTCACAAAACGAAGGTACAGCAACATTGTGCCTTATACAACCACCAGCTTTGGTTCAGGAATCAAAAGCATCCCTTCTCACAGAGAGCACAAACCAGGCTTTCACTTGTAGGCTCCTGATTCAAGCCATACCAGAATTAATGTTGCTTGGTGACCTCGTGGGTATGCATTATGATAGATTTTAATTACATGACCACACGCTGTTCTCCCCACCTGTTTTGCCCAGCAGAAGAGCAAGCACAGTAATATTTCTTTTTAATCAATGTGAATTCTTAACGGCTCCTGAACCTATTGCTACACTGAGCAGGGATTTTTTTGCCCTCTCACATCACAGAGGTCATAATGTGAAGGAATTTATCTTCACAACACACCTATATGGTCAGGAAACAGCCACTCCAATGCACAGATTTTGAGGCCCACAGAAAGAAGGCAAACATATGCAAACAGGCAATGATGAAAACATAGATGAATACACACCCACGTATTTACACCCCCTCATTTTATGAGAGGAAGACAGTTCTACAGTAAACTCCTCCCAAAAATGTGCTGTGCCTGTCAAGCACCAATAGTTATTTGTTCAGCTTTGAAAATGAACAAACTTGACTAACAAAAATAATTTGTAAAAAAGAAGCAATTAAAGTAGGCACAAATAGGAAGAGAAGGCACTATAGGCTGAGTGGATTTTTAATAAGGCTGAGAAGAGACAGGTTAATTGCCAAAACAGGTAAGGTGTGGCTAGAAGAAATGCATTTAAGAAAAACAAAACCTCTTCCTCTTCTTCTCATGGAAAATGGCAGATCTACAGGCAATAATTAAATATGACCTTTGCAGCAGTACCTCTGATGCAGTACCAAAGATAAAAACAATTTCACCCTTTCGACAGGGCAAGAATATTCTGACCTTTAAAAGAAATGCAACCTAGTTTTCCTTCAATTACCAAATATAACCTCAAAGCTAAGCAGTTCTACAGCCCATTTGCCCTATTTTACAAATGGCATTTTTTAAATTAAAAAAAATCCCTCCAGTTTCTAAGAATTTAGATCTGCAAGTCATCACAGAAATTAATTTTTTCTTCTGTCAATGCTTCACAAATGTTTCAATTAGAAATGCTATGATACTGATTTTGCATAGTCCCATTAAGGCAGGGGAACAGGGAACTCCACATTGTTTAGACCCACAGTAAAGGCCCGTAACTACACAGGTCAGATCTGAAATCTTTTTGATATTCATCTGGTTTTGGCCATAGCACCTTAACATATCTCAATCCAGTGAGGTCTAAATCACAGCCCAGAGGTCACAGCTAGCTTAGATGATGCTTCTGTCCTGCTCACCATCTTTTTTCCAGGGGATACAGAGAAGCTATTTGAACAGTAAATGCTGCTCAGTTACATCACTGCCTGCAGTTGCTCACAGCCTAACACAGAAAACCAGTTCTGCTGCTGCCACCTAGGGCTTGAGCATGCAGGGAACTCCCTTCAGCTGGAAGCAGGTGGAAGAACAGCTAGACCAGGAAAATCAATTTAGCTAATACTTGAGGGAGAGAAAGAAGGGATGGAGGAGGAAGAAAAAGACAAACGGTCTCAAAACACAGACCTGGCTCCTAAGGTAGACAAAATTGGAAAATCCTGCCACACCTACTCGTCTTCTCTAACCTACCTGTCAGCACTGTGACACTGGCTCCTTCCACCAGCCTCTCAGATTTGATAATTTCAACAACAGCAAAAGTAAGCTCCCTCTCCCATCCTGCTCGCATACTTGCGAAGGCAGAATAGGAATTCTTTTTCCTCCTTCAGATGTCTCCCCTCTCTCCCCTGCTATACAAATTTGATGTGTTTGACCTGCTGCCCAATGTACCCTCATTCTTCCCTGCTGTTCCCCAGTCACCTTGTTCCCTTACACTGCACCTGCAGACTCTCTGGGGAAGGGTGGTGGTTCTTGTTTGCGCTGGTACAACATTGAGCAGAACAGGGCACAACGCAGACACTACACGTGCAACTCACCTCCCCTGCCAGCCACAGGGTTGGGATTTGCCTCCAGGTTAAGACAACTGCCTATGTGCAGGAGGTGTCTCAGCTCTCATGATGGTCAGATCTAGTCACTACATTCTGGCAAGCTGTGACTGAAACTCAGCTCACCTGAACACAGGCAGATAGTGGTACCTTTGGTGGTGTGCAGCATCTCACCTTGCTCTGTTCCAGGACGGTGCCAATGCCTTAATGTCTTGTGTCATGTCTGCCAGTCCTATGCAGACATCTAGGATAACTTAGGGCTTCTCAGATGGTACCAGGCATGTACATTAAGCAAAGTGGATTCCTGCACACCATACATGCTCAACTACATTCTTGTCAACAGTACTGCACTGACTGGGATGGGAGCTTAGAAATCTGCAGCAAATGCAGACATCTCTCATAGAGAGACGATTGTTCCTCCTAAAGACATGCATCTCACACCATCTGAGATGCTGTGGGGTATCCAAAAGGCTTGTGTGGGGCTGGCAAATATCACACAGAACCTATGGGAGACCCACAGCCTTCTGAAGGTTAGGTGGACAATCCCAGAGCACCGCCGGTGGTATAGACGGGGAGTTGTGTGCAACTCAAGTGAGCCTCAAGCATTTAGCCTGGAGTTGAAGCTCCCCACCTCAGCTGTCTAAAATGTAGAATGCTTTCCCTTTACGGTCAAAGAAGAGAGGCATTTCCAGAAGATGAGTCACCTCATTCCCCTTCTTCCCACTGACCATAAAAGCAGGGGCAGACCCAGATTATCCACCTTACAGAGAGATAAGTTAGGACAGGTGAATCCCTCTGTTCCTTCCAGCAATACAGAGAAAAGACTCTTTGGAATGAAATGACGCAAAGCATCCATCCTCCAACCTCCCAGCTCAGGGTTTTAAAATACTCTCATACACCAAACTATATATCAGACTTAGCTGAAAAAAATGTATCTGAATAGATAAACGTTATTCCTGTCAGACTACAATAGTTTTCTTCTTCATGAAGAATGAAATGTCAGGCGGTCTGATGAAAAGAGAAATCAGAAAGGTTCATTTCACTTGAGAAGAGCAACTAAGTGCCAAAAATCCTCCTACAGAGAGTGGACAAGGGAGTGAGCAGGGAGGCCACAGTAGAAAATAGGAAGTCTTGTTTCTTCTCTTTATAGACAAGTTGATTTTATCTACTTTTTCTTAAGCGAAGGAAAACGTTAGATGACAATAGCCCAGTTTAACACCTCAGGTCTAGTCAGGTTCTTTCTTGCCCAGAGCTGCATGGAAATATTACATAATATAAGCAGGCATTGCTGCAGAAAAAAAAGCAGTTCCACATCCCTTTCTCTTATCTGCCCATGTCTTGCCCTTCCCCTGTACTAAGACAAACTTTAATGGGACTGTGCAACTTGCAGGATCAAGAAACAGGTGTAAATTAGCACTAAATACAAACTCCTAAATGCCCATTTTCAGCCAGGACAGTTACAGCTGACGTTACAGAATAGCCACATGACACTGGCACGGGAAAGGAAGCACTGCAAGAATGTGAAAAAGCAGTCAAGGACGAGGCGGGAGAACAGAACAGACTCCTATGCCAGGGTTGCTGCTTTTCACAGAATCACAGGATCACAGAATGTTAGAGATTGGAAGGGACCTTGAAAGATCATCTAGTCCAATCCCCCTGCCAGAGCAGGACACCTAGATCAGATCACACAGGAACGCATCCAGGCGGGCTTTGAATGTCTCCAGAGAAGGAGACTCCACACCCTCTCTGGGCAGCCTGTTCCAGTGCTCTGTCACCCTCACCGTGAAGAAGTTTTTTCTCATATTCAAGTGGAACCTCCTATGTTCCAGCTTGAACCCATTGCCCCTTGTCCTATCACTAGATGTCACAGAGAAGAGCCTGGCTCCATCCTCCTGACACTCATCCTTTACATATTTATGTAGCATAAGGAGTGCAGTAAAATGTATGAGATCGCACCATGCACCTCTTCCCAACATTGACAGATGCGACTTTATCTGCAAATCAGACTGTAAATATCCATTTATCGGCTATCTTCTACAGAGTGTGAGTTACACTAGGGCTAATGGTCTACCAGGTAACCACGCACTCACACCACTCTGACATTACAGTTATGCCTAAAACACCTAAAGAGAGCAGATGTTCACAGCATTCAACAGGGTGCATCCCCTTAGAGTCCCTATATAGTCAAGGGACAGAGAAATGCATTTCTTGTGAGTGGTCAGCAGACAGCTAAAGCAGATCAAATGAAACACACCCTAAGCACGCCTTTTTCCACTGACTCAAAAGACAGTGCCAGGTGAGCCAGCTCAGGTGGACGTGCACATGCTACAGATGACTTAAAACAGGTGAAATGAAACTCATGTGCTATGTTGTCAAACCTTTACTTTGTAGGTATCATGGAAAAAGCAATCCAACTCAATAATGTTTTATATGGACACCTCCCTGTAAAACTCTCTTACTAAGGATTTAAAAAATCATGTCAAGGCTAATAGGTCAAGGCAAACCTACTGCAAGTTTAATTCCTCTTATTGCCCCACATGATTCTCTCTCCATTCAAGTAACCTATTATATATTTATGTCATATTTATGTACCAAGTCCCAGTGCTAATACATATGTCAGAGAAACTAATGCTGTAACAGGACTTATACAAAGCTTAATTGGTTTCTGTTTGTTGATCCATAATGCAAAACACCTTACAGGCAACAACAAACAGTCATTATAGCTTTGAGTTCCTGGAATAAAAAGTTCAATTAATATATGTATAATACTGCTATTGCAGGAATGGTACAGACTCTGTTGTCCTACCAAGGACCTTGACCCTTGGCTGTGATGACAAAGTATCTGCTACATAAGGACCAAAATAATCAAAGCTGATTAAGAAAGTGATCACCAACACAGCACTGATAAAACATTTACCATAAATTGAACTACATCTTCAGGTTTGTGCTTTGCTGATTTGAAGGCAGGCAGTCGGGTAACAACGACAATGTGATATTCTACGTGGCCAGACATCATCTTCCCACGGATTTCCTGGTATTCTGGCACTGACAAATCCAGCCCCGTGTGCGTATTCTGAATTTGCCTAGGGAAGAAAACACACGCAGAGTTCAGGCATTGGCATAAAGACTTTTAACTCACCCTCTCCAAGGATCCAGTTCAATAGCAGGACACCAGACAGACCCTACCCCAACACTGTTCCCACTCTGCAACAACACAAATTTGGACGTGGGTAGCTTCTTATATTCTATCCCAAAGCACTTGCCACTGGCCACTGCAGATAAAACGCCAGGAACATAGCATTTCTGGGAACAGAAGATGGGGATTCATTCAGCACAGGTCTTCACCCACAGGAGTTGAAGGTGCTGTCCTACCCATCAGGGAAGATGAGAAGATCCCATGATCTCTCATCACGGCTTGTTTTGAAGCAAAGGTCTGTTCACTACAATTCACGCCAAGCCCTATCCATCTCTGCTTTGCCTTAGGACATCCCCAGGAATGGCAGAGACAATAGCTGAAAGAGGTCACGAAAGGAAGAAGGAGCTTGCCTGAGTGCAGGGACAACCTGAGGCTTGTAAGAGCCAACCAGGGAACTAGGTTAAAGCATGAAATACAAAGAGAAGATGCTGGAGCAGACTTCTGGGACAGCCATGCAGCTTCCATCTGTGGAGGTCATCCAGAAAACGAGACAAACATCCATCAGGAATGAGCAAGTTGAAGGAGTACATCATCTCTTGAAGCTGCCTTCTGGTCTTGACTGTCTGACTGACAGTCTTCTTGACAAATAGCAGAAAGTGTACAGTAGAAAGGGTAAAGTATCTCAGCTTTCCCACAGAAAATCCTACAAACAAAACCACCTGTCCTTTCACAACCAGTTAAAGTAGACAGAGAATCACAGTGTTAACCTCTGAGACCTGCCACCAGTCAGAACCACCCATGGCTCCTCTTGGACGAAAATGCAACAAGGGAGCTGCTGCTGCAGTTTACTCAACACATTTTCTTCTCCTGACAGGTTCAGGTGCACTGAACCGTGGTGTCAGCTTCCCCCTGGATTCCCACTCAAGGAATTATTTATGATGTGTTTGCAAGAGGAATGCCAGGATCATATTATAGTGCTCATGCATCAAGAGTAAGACCAAGCAGCTGTTGTTGTGGCACAAGAGAACGGTAACAAAATAAACAGTCTGTTTCAATAGACTAGAAACCAAAACTGATCAGTAATTCCCCAAAGTTAGCCCTATGCCAAGCCACAGCACAGTCACCACTGCTGTTGCTGGACCAAGTACTCTGCCAGAAGCAGAAAGAATCCAGAGCACTGAATACTCTCTGAACACATCTCTGAGTGCGTCCTCTCTATGTGTGAATGTTTTTTAATCAAATCAGAAGGAACTATTTAAAAAAACCCCACTTTTCATTAAGCATTTTTTTATGCTTTTTATTTTTTTAGCCTTAGCCCTGTGGGGAATATGAAGTCCCACCTTCCCTGGACTTCCTGTGGATTGCAGAGGTGTGTTGTGGAATTCTCCCCTCTTTCTTTAGGAAGTTTAGATTCATTAACACAGGTGCCCTTTACCTAAGGATACATGAGGCGTACAAACTTAAAATACACTTTAAAGAGGTTTAAACAATCTAGTTTCAAACAAAATTTCAAAAGACTCCTCTCATCATGTCAAAACTTGACCAGTTCTTTTGAAACTTGAGTTTTCCCAAGAAGGCAACCTCTGAATCTCCAATGCAAAACTGAATAAAAAAACTTCTAAAAGGGAATATCTCGAGAGTTCTTTACAACTTGGATAGCAACAAACAAGGGCACAGGCCCGGTTGTGTACCCTATCTTCTTTGCAAGCCATGTTTAAAACATTAGGGTTTTAACAACAGCTCTATCACTGCCAAGATTTTATACTTCATACCCAAATGCCATTCTGTTTGCTCCAATTCTGTTCTCATTTTCTGCCAGCCAAGGACTTGACTTTACACTAACAGACAAAATTTTGTTTTCAGTTACACGCTGTCGGGCTGTAAACACAGAATCAATAGTGCTTATGTACCAATACATAGGTGCCTGGCTTTCACACAGTGGTCTGTCAAACCCATAACAGTCATTATGGGGAGTGTTGACTCCTTCAGTGGCAGCCAAAATGCTGACTCAAAGGACACGCGCCAGTAAAATCAGCTGGATCTGGGGTTTTCAGAATATATTTGAAGTGGAGGAAACGTTCTCCAGGTGTGCAGTCACTCAAAAGTTGTGACTGCAGCTATGAAAGCAAAAAAGTCTGTCAAATGGTACTCAGGAGTGACTCACTTCTTTTGACATGGCCACAAAGTAAAAATGACAAATCAATTTGCTTTTCACCTCTGATGTAAATAAAAGGAAAAAACACCAGTAAACCATCCTTCCTGACCGGTCTTACTTAGCTTAAAACACCAACCACGTACAGATGTTCTGAGAGGACAAAACAATGACTTCACTGTAAAAGCTGCTGTATCAAAGAGTTCTAAAAATGTCATTAAGTAAATAAGTACTGTACCTATACCCAGGGTTTTTCTTTTAAAGTTGTTAAAAGTCTCAGCTAAAATGACTGTAACGGCAAGCCATTAGAGGTAGGGGGAACAGCTACATTTTTGTTTGTTTTAGGCCTTGTGATCCCTCTCACTATCATCTCTTACAGAAATCCTACCCCTATTATCTCTTCCATAGCAACAGGATTGTGTGTTTTTTAAATATAAAAATGATTCTAGATGAACAGAAATCAGCAGGGAGGCTGAGGCAGATACAGCATAATATCCAAAGCACACGTTAGTTCTTGCAATGCCTCAGTTTCAAAATAAGCAGCCATGGTGTTTTGATACTGTTATTGTTGTTACTCAAACAGAAGCAGTACTTACAAATCCCGACAGAATATAGTTTCATTGCATTTTTCACATCAAACACAATTATTTTTACATTAGTAGCTTTAAAAAAGAAGCAAAAGGAGAAAGCTGGTTGTTCAAATTGGACACACAGGTTTATTGCTTCTACTCCTTATTTAAATCTAGCTTGCACATCTGTAAGTTATGCTTCTGTCTACAATACAGATGGTTCAGGGAAAACTTGGGCACATGGTTAACTTTTCTTCACTCGAACACAAGATGACCATTCATACCAGCAACACTGTGCTTGCACAATCAGGTCAGGTGGGATCAGCACGGGACAGAATAAAAGAATAAAGTCAGATGAAAAGAGCAGTTTCCGCAGTTCACGGAAGAGTCACAGGTTTTCATTCCTGTCTTTTGATTTACTATAATGTAGAGGCTTTGTACTTTAATTAATCTGTTTTCTGTGCTGAAAGGCCAAGATGGGAGAGAAGGGAAAGCAGCCACTGCTAAGCAAGACAGCAAAGTAAGGGATGTAAGCACTGTGCCCAGAGAAACTTTATTCCAGTGTCTGTGTGGTCAGGAGAGTGGACTCTGTACTTTCTGTTTTGACAGGCAGCCCTATCAGCAGCACCCAGTTTCAACAACTCTCCTCCTTCCATGGGTGACCCCAAGAGGGACTAAACTCTGACAACCCACGTCATACTAAAAGAGAAAAAACCTGTGCAACTAGTTTATTCATTAAAAGAAGGCAAAATATCAGACACAAATTATCCAGCAAACATTTTTATTTCTCTATATAGTCTAACTACAAGTATACAGATTGCTATTTATTTATATTACCATGGCAACTAGGAATCCTATTCCCAAGCCAAAACCAGTATGTATGAAGAGTGAAAAAGGTCACAACTATACAGCTATTTTATCTCACAAGAGAGAAAATATACTCACTTGCTAAAGCACTTAATCCCACCATGCATATATACCCAATATTACCATTGAAAGCATTCCAGTATCATTGGGACAATTTGCAAGTGGTAAAGTCTATTGACTGTAAAATAAATCCAGGTGTTCAGATTTCCATTTCCAAGGCTAAACATAACATAAAGTCAGTTCTACAAAACACGTATGTGAGTTAAGTCAGATACGTTTGAAGGCTCAAGGCCACTGCTCCAAAGGAAGCCAAATATTTAAGGATTAAAATAATGGCTTTGAAGTTAATGTGATTGAAATATTTGCTACTTATGTCCTAGGAGGTAGATGTGTGAAGCAAGACCTTGCTGAATCAACACTTCTGTTTCTCATGTCACATCTGATAGGGAACTGCTTTCATGTGGTCTCAAATTTATCTCACAGGAGAAAAAAAAAAAAAAAAAAAAAAAGAGAGAGAGATCTCTATTATTTCTCTATAAAGACCGCCACAAGCGTTTTCTTCTTGAGGGATCTCTCTTGAAGTTTTATTTGCCACATCTAGGAAAACAGAGGTTTTAAAAATTCAACGCCACTGGAAACAGCGCTGCTGCACCCACCTAGGGCATGGTTTCAAGACGGTGAGAATACAGAAGAAACTTATCTTGCCCATCCCTGACCTGACTTCCAGCCAGATGGGCTCCCTGCGGCCTGGGGGACACGAGGATCGGGGCGCAGGGAATGGCAGCAGGGAACGGGGGTCAGCCAAAAGCTCCGGAGACACCGTGCCTCAAAGACGCTGGTGCACGCTTCAGGATGAACTTTAATTCTTTCTGACCCACCTCAAAATACTGACAAGGAAAAGATGTTTCCGGAGCATGGGCGCACACGTTGCGTCCCCAGCAGTACCAACGTAGAAGGGAAAGAACCCTAAAAAGTTACCACAGGAGTTACCACAGGAGGACAGCAACCAACGGCCGGTGTTACACAGGACGGCCCAGACAACAGTCATCGCTCCCGGCTGTGAAATGCTAAAAAAACTCGATGAATCGCATATATCCGAAGTGCCCCGGGGGGGCAAATCCAC